ATTCCATGGAAAGAGTATGGCACTGGGCTCCCGGGGCTCTAGGTCCAGATCCTGCCTCTACCGCTTCGTGTCCGTGTGACCTTGGCCAGGCCATCTGGTTTCATCCTTGTGAAAAGAACAGAGTAACCCCTATCAAACTGGGGCTAGTCCTGCGTATTAAATGAGATACGACCCGGGAAAGCCCACCATCGGGGAGCCCAGAACGAGGACATCTCTGATTAGTCATAAGAGAGGCCAGCTTTTACTCGGGCCTTGGAACGTACCAGGGCAGTGCTCGGCCCCTTACACACATGAACAAATTCATTTATATATTGATTATTTTAAATACATTTTTTATTGATTTCAGAGAGGAAGGGAGAGAGAGATACAAACATCAATGATGCGAGAGAATCATTGATCGGCTGCCTCCTACACACCCCTCACGGAGGATCAAGCTCGCAACTAGGGCATTTGCCCTTGACTGGGACTCGAACCATGACCTCCTGGTTTATAGGTCGGCACTCAACCACTGAGCCACGCCGGCCGGGCCACACATGAACACATTTAATTCTCACCGCAGCACCCTGGATACTGTTGCTATACCTGTTGTTATCAACTCAGTAAACACTGGTATTAATGATAGCAGGGAAAGTAGTGGACATTTATGGAGCACTTACTGTTTACGAAGGTCGCGCCACGTCTGTGGCTGCCCCCGTCCTATATCTGGGGGAACCGAGGCTGGTGGAGGCAAAGCCCCTTGGCCAAGGTCAGTCAGCCCAGAGGTGGCAGAGCCAGGATTTGACCCCGAGAGCCTGGACTTCCACCACGATGCCCTCTACCGGAGCTCAGTGAGTGGCGGTCAGCCCTGCCCGGGCAGCCTGTGTTTTATGGCCCGTCCTCACACAGCCCTGGGAAAGAGCCGGAGTCCATAGCCCATTTTCATCTGTCTGTCTTTCTCCTTTCCTCTTTTTCTCCCTCCCCTCCTTCCTGTGTCTCTTTCCTTTTTTTAGTGAGGCGTCTATAGCCTAGAGACGGCAAAGTGCACAGAGCTCAAAGATGAGGCTGGATGCATGTTTGCCTGCATTTACATGACATCACCATCACCCCAACATCCACGTCACCTTCACCCCGACACCCACGTCACCATCACCCCGACCAGACAACATATTTCCACAAGCTGGGAGGTTCCCTGTCCCCGCTCTCAGTCAGTAACCGCCCCCCCTACTATTCTGACTTCTGTTACCATAGATTATTTCTGCCTGTCTCTATGTTTTTTTAATATATTTTTTTTATTGATTTCAGAGAGGAAGGGAGAGGGAGAGAGTTAGAAACATCAATGATGAGAGAGAATCATTCACTGGCTGCCTCCTGCACGCTCCACACTGGGCCTGAGCCGCAACCAGGGCCTGTGCCCTGACTAGGAATCAAACCGTGACCTCTTGGTTCACAGGTCAATGCTCTACCACGCCGGCCGGGCTAATCCTGCCTGTCTTTACACGTCATAGAAAGTTCTACCCGTTTTACAGGCTCAGGTGAAGCGACCTGTCCCAGGTCCCCCAGCTTCTCAGTGGCAGAGCCAGGGGGCGAGCCCACATCTGTCTGTCGCTGCCCCAGGGTCTTCTCATCGCCCTCACCAGAGTCCCCAAACTTGGGTGAATCCATAAAAAGTTTATTTTTGCTCCCAATGGGCTTTTAAAATCACCTGTGAAAACCAGTTCGGCTCTGGGCCACGAGGTGAGCCAGCCTGGCAGGCCCCTGGATGACACGGTGGGTGGGCTTGTGGCGCCGGCTGAGCGGCAGGAAGCCAGCAGCCGGGAACGTTGCCTGGGACTCGCTCGGAAGGAAGGTGGCCGCATTGACCTCATCGGGCGGTGGCACAGGTGGCTGCACCGTTCATCCCACAGCCCCGGGCTCTTCAGGGAGGCGCCTGGGAGCAGCCAGCTCTAGCCTCACGGAACAGCCTGAGCGTGGCAGGTAGTGGGTTTCCCGCCCTCCCCAGCCCCTCTGTCGGGAGCGGGGCCCCTGGGCTGGGAGGGCCTCCCGCAGGGGCCTCCAGGGTGTGCTCACCTGGGCGCCACACCTGAGGCGCACCTCGCTCTGGGAGCTGAGGTCACCTCCCGAGGATTGCCAAGGGGTGACATCATCCCACAATCCCTCAGTGCTGCTCGGGGCCCGCCTTCCAGGTGGGAGAGGTGAGCGGCTTCAAGGAAGAGTCTCACTGGGCTGGGAAGGGCGGCTGGGCTCTCTTTCGGTGACCCGGTGACCGTTCTGTTAATCACCCCAAAGCTCATTGTTCAACCACCCTCCTGAGTTGCGACGTGAGGCTGGGGGGGTGGGGTGGGAATCGGGCGCTGAAGCATTCGGCCCTGTGATGTCCATCCTCCAGCACCACCCCCTGCCATCCTGTCCGCTCCTCCCCCTGGCTCATCGGTCCTTCCTGTTCTTCGATGCGGGCCAACGCCACGAGCCTGCCCAGCACAGGCCTTTGTCTCCCAACCCCGCACGCCGTGGCCTCGGAGGCCCAGGGCCCCCCTCGTGTTCCCCGTTGACCCTGGATGTTGAGGACGAGGAGGAGGAGGCCAGGGGAGCCCTGGAGCTCGGGCAGAAGGCAGACCGGGCAGGTTAGGGTTGCAGCTTAGCCATGTCCTGCTGTGTGGCCTTGGGGATGGGACTCACCCTCTCTGAGCCTCGGTTTCCTGCCTGTAGAATGGGGATCAGGACATTCCGCAGGGGCAGGCGGGACCACATGAATGCCCACAGACCCGATTGGGCCGTTCCCGGCTGGATGGGCAGGAGGCCCAGCCATCTGAAGGCTGAGCTGTGCAGGCCTCGCTCTCGTTCCTAGGAACACCCTTGTGACCCTGGTGTGTGTTGTGAGTGAGCCCACCGTTTCCCACGGGGGGCTGGGCACAAAGGCAGGGTCTTAGTAAAAACCAAACGCCCTGGCCCTGGCCTGACTCATTCTTTCCCCAAGAAGTGGCCGCTGATGAGGCTCTCGCAGAGTCGGACTGGTTAGAGCCACAGTCCTTTATGTACAGCCTGTGCCCAGGACCCCAGGGGCCGCCTGGCGCTGCCCATAGCCTGTAGATTCAGCTCCCTCCCATGGAGGGGCGCTATCTGGGAACAGGCGTCTGACACGGCTCCCAGGATGTCTCCAAGGCACCCCGAGCTCAGCAGCCACACGGAACCCGGTGCCTTTCCCTCCCACCGCCCCGCTTCTCTTCCAGTGAATGGTTCCAGGAGACGTCATGCCCTGGCCATCACCGAGTCCGCCTGCTCTGGCGCCCCTACCCTCCTCTCCATCCCCAACACCCGGGCCAGGCACCTGCTGTCACCTGCACCTGCCCCAGCCTCCGCCCGGCTCCGAAGGCACGGTGAGCCCTCCAGGCAGCCTTCCTTGGGGCAGACAGAGGGAGGCTGTACGTGCAGCCTGACCGTGGCACTGGGCTTGGGTTCCAGTGCAAAGCCTCCTCATGGCCTCAGAGCCTGCCTGGCCTGGCCTGGCCCCCAACCATCCTCTGACTGCCGCACCCCCCGCTCCCCTCTGCTCCACACTGCAGCCAGCGACCCCCGCTCCCCTCTGCTGCTCACTGCAGCCAGCGACCCCCACTCCCCTCTGCTGCACACTGCAGCCAGCGACCCCCACGCAGCCAGCGACCCCCATTCTGTTCCCCAAGGAGCCGTGCCCCTCCCACTTCCAGGGAGAGACACCCCCCCACCCCCTTGTCAGGACAGCTCCTCACGCTCAGACCTCAGCGGCCACCTCCTCAGAGCAGTCTTCCCAGCCACCCTCCTGAGGGCAGCCACACCGCCTGTCCCTCTGGAGCTGGATAGGGGGGCCCATGTCTTTCAGTCAAGCAGTCACCTGGTTGGCTGTTTACCCGGGAGGCGGGGGGCTGCGCTCCGGGAGGGCCGAGACCACGCGTCTGGGTCCCCTCCCTCCAGTGCCGGGCAGGCCGGGCGCTCGGACGTACAGGTTGAATGGATGAGCGTCGCTCGCGGACCCCCGTGTGTTGCTGTTGTCCCCAACGGCAAGGTGTCCTGGCTGTCCTTCGAGCCACCTGCCGGACACTGTGCCCTCCCCTAGAGCGTTCCCTCCCCCTCCCTGAACCCGGGGACTGTTACCTCACGCGGCAAAGTGTGATTTTTACAGTGATTATGTCAGGGGTCTTGAGGTGGGAAGGTGACCCTGGTCATGCAGGTCGCAGGGCGGAAGCACAGGGCCTCTCAGAGGAAGGTAGGTGTGCGAGGGGAGGACATGCCACGGGCCGGCTGGGAAGAGAGGAAGGGGCTGCGAGCTGAGCGGCCTCCGGACCCCGAAAAAGGCAGGAAAATGCCTTCTTCCCTGCAGAACGCGTGTAGACTCTGACCTCCAGGAGAGCCATTAACTTTTAAGTCACTAACTTTCCGACAGTTCGTTGCAGCAGCCACAAGACACTGCTACATCACTCCGGTGATCTCAGACCCGGTACCCGCCCAGGGTTTGTGAGAGTCGGGGCGGGAGGGGCGCTCAAGAGAGGAGGACGGGCCCGGCCGGTGTGGCTCAGTGGTTGAGCGGCGACCTATGAACCAACCAGGAGGTCACGGTTGGATTCCTAGTCGGGGCACAGGCCCGGGTTGCAGGCTCGAACCCCAATAGGGGGCGTGCAGGAGGCAGCCGATCTCTCCCCATCTCCCTTCCTCTCTGAAATCAATAAAAATATATTTTTTAAAAAAAGAAAAGGCAGAGGAAGAGGTGACAGCTGCTGAGTTCCCACAGAGAGAGGCAGGGCCGGCGTTGGAGCCTGAATCCGACTCCCGTGCTCTTGCCTCGACCCACCCCTCCCTCCAATGCTAGGCCAGCTTTTAGGGGGCACCTGCCATCGCCAGCCGTGGGATGGGAGCCCCGCTAGCCTGTACCTGAGCAGGCGCAGGCTCCCCGGAGGGAGCGCAGGCTCTCGGAGCAGGAGTCACCACGCCAGGGGGTCCCCGGCGCCCCCTGCCCCCGTCTCAGCCAAGGCCCCCGTGCTTGTCTCCCTCAGTGTGAACGAGCTGTACGTGGATGATCCGGACAAGGACAGCGGGGGCAAGATCGACGTCAGCCTGAACATCAGCTTACCCAACTTGCACTGTGACTGTGAGTGTTCCCAGCAGCCCTCCCCCCAGCAAGACACCGCCCCCTCTGCCCCCTCCCCCGTGTAGGCAGAGCTGGGGTGCACGATTGGGCAGGCAGCCGGGACCAGCTAGACCAGTGATGGCGAACCTTTTGAGCTCGGCGTGTCAGCATTTTGAAAAGCCCTAACTTAACTCTGGTGCCGTGTCACGTATAGAAATTTTTTGATATTTGCAGCCATAGTAAAACAAAGACTTCTATTTTTGATATTTATTTTATATGTTTAAATGCCATTTAACAAAGAAAAATCAACCCCAGAAATGAGTCCGCGTGTCAGAGGTTCGCCATCAGCGAGCTAAACAAACAGCGCAAGCTGCCAACCACACGTGGCATGGGATTCTCCACACTCCGGGGGGAGAATGTGATCACATGTGAATACACTTGGTGGTTTTCTGGGATAAAAATCAAGAAATTGCTAACGGGGGTTACCTCTGGAGAGTAGCCGTGTGTGTGCGTGCGTGCGTGTGTGTGTGTGTGTGTGTGTGTGTGTGTTGGGGGGGGGTCTCTTAGGTCAGAGAAGCGGAGTTAGGTTGCCTGCAAATGGCTGATTGAGGGAGGCCTCTCAGAAGGAACGTGTAGGGCGTCAGGGAGGTGAGAGGACACGCGGAGATGTGTGGCGTGTGAATGACACCACGGGTGGTCCCTCCTGGTAGCCAGGGGCCGGGCTGTTATTATTTGCATCCTTGATATCCTTGACCAATGCCTGCAGGGTGGGGTGTGGGTGATGGGTGGGGGTCGTATAACCCCCCCAACCAGCCAAGAGTAGTCACCCAGAAAAGGGATGCAGCTCTGAGCTGTCAGCAGCCGCCGGGAAACTTCCTTTTTCACTTCACACTCTATTTTGTTTGTTCCATTTGTTTCAACCAAGAGAATGAATTATTTGTATAGACAGAACTCATTGGAAGAGTGGTGTGTGGCATCAGATTCTGGCTCTTCTTGTCAGTAAAACTGTGTGACGCTGGCTGAGGCAACCTCTCCGGCCTCAGTTTCCTCATCTGGAAAATGGGCTTGGTGCTATCTGTTGCCTGAAGCTGTTGAGAGGATGTGGTAAGCTGGTTCTTAGGCTTGTGGGCGAGTGGACTGGGGGTCCCCTCTGGGACTGGGGTTCTAGCAGTTCCTCTGCCCCAGCCTGGCACTTAACCCCCTTCCTTCCTATTGAAGGGCAGCACATCGGCCGGGTCTGCAGGCAAAGATAGGGGGTCCGCCCTGTGACTGCCTTTGCTGAGAGTTGCATCACAATCCTGAATCCACAGCGGGGCCCGAGCCAGGGAACCTGTTGAAATAGGTTGGCTTTATTTTTATTTTATCCCCTTTCTCTTAGAAAAATAACTCATCTGGCAGCTTCTCATTCAGGAACTGGTCATGTCTCTGGAACAAGGAAATTCTTAGGCCAGAGGCCTGGGGCCAGCGGGCCAGGGGAGGGAAGGGATGTGGTTCTAGGCTCCATCCCAGCTCCAGGCAGCGGCCCAAGCGGGGCCAGCGACCTCCAGCGGCAGCCACGCTGGCTTCTGGGGTCCGACCCCTCTGCGGAGCCATCCCCCAACCCCCGTGGCTCCTGCTGGAGCCCCACACCCTGGAATTTTTCAACAAGAACTGCAAGTTTATATTATGGGGAAACAAATGTGTGCTCATCGTTGTACCTTTGGAAAATCCGGAGCCGCAGCGAGAGAAGAAATCGCCCATCCTTCACCCCCCGCCGCAGCCTCGGCTGGCGGTCCAGGCCGTTCCGTCCCGTTGGCTGTCCCTTCCGCACATTTCTACACCCGGCTGAGCTCATGCTGCATGTGCAGTCTCATATCCTGCTTTTCAAACGATGGGCTTTTTGGGTTACACAACTAATGCAGGAATACATATTTTTTTAAATTTCTTAATAAGATACATGTTCAAAATACAGAAGGAGATCAAGAAAAAAGTAAAAGAAGTACATGTTCCCCAGGGTGCCACCCGCCCCAGAGGTCGCCTCTGCCAGCAGTGGGGACCCTTCCCCCCACCTCTGTGTCCGTCTGTCTGTCTGCCAGCCTGCCTGTCAACATTCTTTCTTTTCTTTTTCCATCATTGAGACCCAACTGTATGGGGCCTTTTGGGGTTTCTTTTTCCAGCTGATACCTTGGAGCTGTTCTTCGATGCCTCACAGGATTAGCGAAACAGTAACCACAGCTGGCATTGCTGCAGCTCGGAGGCCGGGCCGGGCCCCGCCCGGAACGCTTGGGCTGTGTTAAGGCGCGAGGTGTGCTAAAGGGCCTGTGGGCTCCATGGGTTCCAATCCAAGCTCCATCGTTTCTCAGCTGTGAGATCTCAGGCAAGTTACATGACCTCTCTGTGCCTCAGTGTCTCCCCCAAAGAATGGGTCTGACAAGGTGACCTGTCCCACAGGGACATCCAGAGGGAACATCCTTACCTAAAACGCACCTCGAGGCGTGTCTAGCGCATAGTAAGTGCTGTTTTAGCTTTTCCTCCTCCTAGACATGGAGGCTGGAGCACAGAGGGGTTAGGTAACTTGTCCCAGGTGCAGCCCCGCACCCGTGGCCACAGCCCTGGCCTGCGCGGCCCCTCAGCTGGGCTGCTTGCAGTTGTCACGGTTTCAGATCAGGCTGCCCGGAGAGCCCCCTGCACATGCCTGGTCACGTGTGCATCTGGGAGACAGGCCTCTGGGATGGAGCTGCTGACTCAAACGGGGCCCCGCTGCGGGAGCCTCACGCCCATGTCCTGCAGACCCATGAGCGGCCTCGTCCAGGCCTGCATCCCATTCTCTTCTCCGGATGGCCTGGGTCCACGTCCCCGTCTCCACTGAGGAATCGGTTCCCTTAAGATGAGCTCACTTGAAATGTTGCTTCCAGCTGCCCCTTCTCTACATGGCAACCCCGTCCTAGCATTCTTCTCAGGGAAATGCCTGCGTTTCTGTCGTTTATGGGGACACCACCACCACCACTTGGACCCTCTCAGCACAAGCAGTTGGCATGCGCCTGCCCATTTTCCAGGCTGGGAAGCTGAGTCACAGAGGTGGTGGAGTCACACTGGAGTCGAGGAGCAGGACTCCCCAGGTTTCCCATCTAGTGTACTGAGCAACTCCAAAAAGTGCCTGAGCCCCTGCAGGGCGGGCCTGGAGGAACAGGCATGGGGGTAAAGGAAGGTGTGAATGAGTGACTGAATGAGGAATGAATGAATGAGCCGGTTTAACCAGGGAACCCAGAGGCTGGCTGAGGTACAGGAAGTGCTGGAGCTCATTAAGCCCTTGCCACTCCTGGGCGTGAGACCCTGTCTGAGCGTTTTCGATACGGATGAGCTGTGTGAGCTCCTGATTCCCCAAGGAAGGCTGCATTGTCGTCACCCCACTTCCCAGGAAAGAAACGGGGGCCTAGAGAGATGAAGAGCCTCTGCCCGGGTGGGTGGTGGGTAAAGGCCGGCAGGGCCCGTCCTCAGACCTCCTCCTCACCCTGACCCTCTGCTGCCTGCCGCAGCCACCACCTAGCAGAGTGTCACCCCTACACCCCACAGTCCCCCATCACCGGCCCCATTAGCTGCTGCCCCCCTGCACCCCACAGTCCCCCATCACTGGCCCCGTTAGCTGCTGCCCCCCTGCACCCCACAGTCCCCCATCACTGGCCCCATTAGCTGCTGGGGAAGCCAGGGAAGGGTGCATTACAGCTGGCGTGAGGCGTCACCATAGGTAAGAGCACAGAGAACGTTGCCACACTAAGCGCGCATGGCGGGGGGGCGGGTACCTAAGGTCCTCCATATTAGATCTACTTCTTTAAAATCTGCCTTTCACCGGCCCCGTTAGCTGCTGCCCCCCTGCACCCCACAGTCCCCCATCACCGGCCCCATTAGCTGCTGCCTCCCCATTTCTTTCCCCTCGTCCTTTCCAGCCGCAGATGGGGGGTGGGGGCGTGGAGCATAGGGGGCGGCTGGCTCCCTCTTAGTCCAGAGCCACTTTCTCCTCCTCCGATGGCTGACTTCCCCTCTGTGACTCTGGGCCCCAGACCTTGAGCCCAGCCCCGCCTGTCCGTGGAGTGGACGGGGGAGGGGGCTGGCCCTTCACCCCGTTTCTCCTGCTGTTTGTGACTCTCCCCTTCTTGGCCTCGCAGTGGTCGGGCTGGACATCCAGGATGAGATGGGCAGGCATGAAGTGGGGCACATCGACAACTCCATGAAGATCCCGCTGAACAGCGGGGCGGGCTGCCGCTTCGAGGGCCAGTTCAGCATCAACAAGGTACAGAGCGCCATCTGTGCAGTCCCACCCCCTCGGTCCTCCGCCTCCCCAGAAACCGCTGGCGGAGTTGTGCACCCCCTCGCTTCCCCCGGGCGTTCCCAGCGAGTGGGCTCAACACCCAGGGGTCGGACAGGACAGAGGCTGATGGGACAGAGGAGGGAGGGGACAGAGTCTGAGCGGGGGCATAAGTTGATGGGGCAGAGGAGGGAGGGGACCGAGGCCGGTGGGGCGGGGGGGGGGGGGGGAGGAGGTGAGAAGACGGCAGCTTTGTCAGCCCTGAGCCCTGCATTTGCATCTCAGCTCCATCCCCTCTTGGCCAAGCCATGCCCGCCAAGTCACTCAACCCATCTTAGGCTCCGTTGTTTTTATTGTGTGTTTTTTTTCTTCCAAAAAATTATTTTTATTGATTTCAGAGAGGAAGGGAGAAAGAGATTGAAACATCAGTGATGAGAGAGAACCACTGATCAGCTGCCTCTTGCACGCCCCACACTGAGGGTCAAGCCCGCAGCCAGGGCACGCGCCCTGACCCAGGATCCAACTGTGACCTCCTGGTTCATAGGTTGGCACTCAGCCCTTGAGCCATGGCTGGCCGGGCTTAGCCTCGGTTTTTGCATCTTTAGGCGGAGGGTGGGGTGATGATAACCATCTAATGATCCCCTCCCTTCACAATGTTTGTGTGAGGATTAGGTGGGCTATTACACATTCATTCATTCCAAAAAATGTTATCAAGCACCTTCCCAGTCCCAGGGTAGGTTATCAGCTCAGCTGCAAAGTGTGGAAGGGGCGGAGTCCCAGTGCTGGTGGCCTTCGTCTGGTGGAGGGAGACGACACATACGAGCTGTAACGAGCCGAAAAGCGTTACGGCCCAGGCATCCCGGCCCCCGGACTCCGCTCCTCCCCCTGGTCCCCGTTGCTTCCTCTTGCCGACACCTCGGTCACACGTGACGTGACCAGTCTGTCCATTCACTTCCGAGCACAGCTCAGGCCAGCCTCTGCCCCCCGCCCTTGACAGGTGAACGGCTCGTGCCTTTGAGGGGCTCACAGTCAAGGGGTGCTCGGATCAGAAAGCCCGCCGTGATGACGGGCGGGCGAGGCTCACAGCAGGCCCCACCCTTTATCTCGCGGCCTCCTCTCTTCATCAGGAAGCTGGCCAGCAGCCAGAGGTCAGAGGTCACATGTTTCAAGCTGCACGGCAGCCCAGACTCCCTGCTTACTCACCCGGCGCCCCTGGAGGCAGGCAGGATCGGCGGGGGGTTGGGGGCCTGGTTTCTTCTCTATATTTTTAAAACCCATCAGAGGCACTGACGCAGGTTCCTAAGTCACAGGCTCTAAAAGCGTCGACTTGTCGTTCTCCGGCCCAGTGTGTGCTGGCATGAGTCAGCCACCTGTGATGGATTCTGTGCGGAGGGGGCGCGGGTCACTGAGTCACAGCCCGAGGGGTGGCAGCGGGTGGCAGCTGCACAGGAGCCGGGCTCCTGGACTCACTGAACTCTGGGCCGTGAGACCCCGGCCCCAAACACGACTCTGAACTCTGCCCACGTCCACGGGGCCCAGGTCACCGTGTAGAGGAGCCCTGAAGGACACGCCAGACGCCAAAGATGTCTTATTTCCGGGGGTGGAAGGTGACGGGAACTGTCGTCCTGACTTTGTCATGTGAATTTTTCATAATGCGGATGTATCCAGGTATTATTTACAGAAGTAAAAGTGGCGTTTAAAATATGTTTTTAATATAGATTTTTTATTGATTTCAGAAAGAGGAAGGGAGAGGAGAGAGAGAAACATCAATGATGAGAGAGAATCATTCACCGGCTGCCTCCTGCGCCCCTCCCCACCCCGCCACTGGGGATCGAGCCCACAACCCGGGCATGTGCCCTGACGGGGAATCGAACCCTGGCCTCCTGGTTCATAGGTCGATGCTCAACCACTGAGCCACACCAGCCAGGCTCGTTTAAAATACGTTTAAACGCAGTGGCTCTTGCCCAGGCCCTGGCTGTGTACATGCTGTGCCCTCTTCAGGAGGGTCCTCTCTCGGCTCTGACGTTAAACACACCCATCCTCGACCCCAGCCCAGAACAACCGCCATCGGCCTGCACGTGGCACCTCATTGAATCCTCCCAGGAGCCCTCGTGGTTATCCCCGTTTTGCTGATGGGGAGACTGAGACACAGAGTAGCTGCTGACCATGCCCAAGGCCCCCGCTGGGCAGTGAGGCCAGCCTGGCCGTGTGTGGAGCTCACTCAGCTGCTGCTCTGTCACTGTCCTTGGGCCCCTGGAGCGGGCGATATGTCCCTCCTGGGAGATCTGACTGAGCTGCCATTCCCACTCACCCTGGGACCCGTGGCTGCCTGCACCACCTCCTCCCAGCTCCCTGGGTCCAGGGCCCGGCTCCATGCTAGCCACTCGACTGCGAGCTTGCCGAGGCCGGGCCACGTCCTGTGGGCCAGGTTCCTCCCATGTCAGCCCCCAGCTCAGGCCCAGTGAAGAAGGACTGTTCCCGAGAGAGACCCAGAGTGTTTGAAACAGGCGCTTGCAAAATAAGCCACACATCCTCCTCTCAGGGCGGGGCGGTGTTGCTTTGGAGTTTGAGGAAGCCCCCTTGGGCTGCAAGCCTGAAGGTCGTCCCCTCACCCGCTGTGGAGCCCACAGCCAGGGAGGTGATGGTGTTTGGAGCCGTGGCCTTGTGCCAGGTGCCCAGCGGGCATGCTCTGCCCCCATCGCCCAGCAGCCCCTCCCGTAGCTCTGTCACAGCCGCCGTCTGCAGACGAGGAACCTGGAGCTCAGAGCGGGGCTGTGGCTCCTCAGAGTCTTGTGGGCTGACCGATCTGGGTCCACATCCAAACATGTCCGACTCCAGGAGGAAGCTCTGCGCCTCCCACACCCCCGGGGTCAGCCCACCGACCTCCCGGCACTCGCCTCTCTCCCCAGGTCCCCGGCAACTTCCACGTGTCCACGCACAGTGCCTCGGCCCAGCCCCAGAACCCGGACATGACCCATGTCATCCACAAGCTGTCTTTCGGGGACACGCTGCAGGTGAGCAGCCGCACCACGTGGGCGTGACCTGGGATGGGCACACGGGCTGTGTCCCCCGAGCCATCTGTCCTTCCTGGGCGCAGAGCGATGCCCTCCAGCAGGGCTGCCCCCTCTGATCTTCTGCTCCGTCCACAGCCTCTCCAGGTCATTGCTCTTGAGCACACACTGGCCTCGGACCTCGGTCCCGACCTGGGGTCTGGGGAAAGGACCTCGCTGTACTGAGCGAGTACTAAGGGCTGGCGCTTCCTCTCTGTCCGCAGCCTTGTGAGGGGGGAGGGGCCCCACAGTTTACCGACCTGGAGCTGGGACCAGAGAAGCCACTTGTCCGGGGTCCCCCAGCAGATCTGTCCGGCTCCACAGACCAGCCGCCCACTCCCCCCCGCGGCCCCCGCGGCCTGACTGCTCGGGCCCACGCCATGGGATACGGGGAGCATGGGGAAGTGTCCAGAGTCCTGGCTGCTGACCCAGAGGGCACCCCCAGCAGGCCCAGCCCAGCCCAGCCGTTTCTTACTCAGACCAGCAAACAGAGACCACGGGGTCCGCACCGGATTGCACGTGGCCGTGCCTCACAGCCGGGCCGGGCCTGGAGCCGGCGGCCGCCTGAGGCCTCCTCGCTGTGCTTCTCCGCAGGTGCAGAATGTCCACGGGGCCTTCAATGCGCTCGGAGGAGCGGACAGACTCACCTCCAACCGTACGTGTCCGCCTGGAGCCGCCTCCAGCCCCGGGACCCCAGCAGCCGGGAGGGAGGGGGAGGACGGCACTGTTCTGGGGCTGGCCTCGGGGGAGGTGGCATTACCCATCTCACAGAGAAGGGGAGAGTGACCTGGGAAAGTGTGGCAGCCCCAGGCGCACCGTGACCGGCAGTGAATGCCAGCCACGGCGGCGTCACTGCTGTCCTGGCAGCCACGTAATTGTCCTTAGTTGAGCCAGTCACCCGAGTCCCACAGGGAGTGATAGCAGAGCCAGAATTCATCCCAGACCACGTGGCACCGTGGGAACCGGTCCGTGGGCAGCTCAGTCAGGTCTGGCCACCTGGGTCACCTCCCCACCCCCTCTTCCTGCTTGAACCCCTCCCACCCACAGATGCCCCCACCCGAGCCCTCTCCCGCCTCTGCTCCCCGGCACTGCGGCGCTGATTAAAGAGAGTACCGCGTCTTCACACACCGGCCCGAAGCACGTACACCTACACGCAGGGGTGCGCCCACGCGCGGGGCCTCGGACACGTGCACTGCACCGGCCTGGGAGGCCTGTCCGCCCGCTGGGTCCTGCAGGACAGGTTACCTGGCCTCTTCTAATGGCCTCACCTGAGCTCACCTTTTTTCACCCACAGGCTTTCCTTATTGTTTCTTTTTCTTTTTAAATTGATGTTGGAGAGGAAGGGAGAGTGACAGAGAGAGATAAGAACATCAATGATGAGAGAGAATCAGTGACTGGCTGCCTCCTGCACGCCCCCCACTGGGGATCATGCCCGCAACCCGGGCATGTACCCTGACCGGGAATCGTACCGTGACCTCCTGGTTCATAGGTCATCGCTCAACCACTGAGCCATACCGGCCGGGCTTCTTACTGTTTCTTAAAAAATGTTCTACTCTCTAATCATCAGAAATCTAAGCAAGAGAAGGCCTCTCCCCATGAGCTGTGCCCCAGGAGCCCCCCTGTTCGTTCCCTGTGCCCCTGTGAGTTCTCGTCCTTCCACACACAGAAGCCATTTCTTCAAAGCGCCATGTGCTCGGCCTGTTGCATAACCGCATGTTGTACAGTGTTCCCCGCGGTGACGGAGGCCGGTGCCGTCGGCCAGCTCGGCCAGGCTGAATTCAGGCGTTGTCTTTTCTTGGGAAACGTCTCCTCTCGTTTTTCACCCGGCCGGTAACGCCGCGGGTGCTTGTGGTGTTTGCTTTACGTTACCCAGTGGCTTCCCAGCGCTCCGCGCCCATGGGTGCTGCCTCCGGCGGCGTCCGAGCAGCCACATGCCCCCTTGTGTTCATGCGAATGTCACGAATGGTGGGGAGTCGTCATAGGTCTGTGTAAGGGCAGCGTGTTGTCTCAAGGTGGCCGAGGGTTGCAAGCCAGTACAGGGTGTGGGCAGAAAACCTTGCAGCTAACGAAAGCTCAGCTCCTGGCAAGAAAAATGCCTTAGGTCGGGCAGCAGGCGCTGGATTTTATTTCCTCTAACTCGGTCCCCCTGCTGGGCCTTGGCCTTTGAGGGTCCCCGTGCCCTCGGGTCTTCCCACTGGGGCTGCTTGTTGTCATTCAGGTTCAGCACAAATGCCGCCACCTCAGAGAGGCCCTCCCTGATTACCTTATCTGCAGTAAACCCCACTCCTCCTAAGGAACAAACCTGTTTTTCTTCTTAGCTCAGCCCACTCTCTTTGTTGATATTTGAGCTGTCACGATGGCATTGCGGTGGTGGTGGCGGCTGTTTTTTTCAAGGAGCTCTTATCTCTGAGGGAGACATAACTGCAATGTTTGTGGATGACTTGATGTGATGTCCGGGATTAACTTCAACATCAAATGGGGCGGGAGAGCAGTGGGGCTCAGATGAAGCAAAACTGGCCACTGTTCCTTGCTGACTCTGGGGAATGTGTACACGGGGGTTCGTTATACGGTCCCCGGCTTTTTATGTGTTTGCGCGTTCCCATAATAAGGTGTGTGAAGGGCAGGAGGGTGTGTGGGCCTTCGCCAGCCCCTAGGAGGGGTCAGCCGAGAGGGAATCCGTGTGGGCGTGTGAGGTGCTGCAGTGGACATTGGGCAGCTTGTGCCAAAGCCTTCAGAAACGGTCCGCGTCTGCATCGTCAGCTGTGCACATGAGAGAGTACGCTGAGGAAGTAAGTCAGCCAAGCGAATAATTAAGTGTCTGAGGACTTAGGAAAACACTGTTCATTAGGTCATTGTTTACAGGAGGGAAGAGGAGGAACAGCGTCTGTGTCCAGCCAGGGGGGCGGGGGGGCTTGGTTGAGTACGTTGTACGTGGCCTCGCCGCAGGACGCGGGCCCCCACTGACCGCCGTGTGTCAGAGCCTCGCTGGCATCCAGGCAGCAAACGGTTACTGAGCACCTTCTGTGTGCCAGGCACCGTGCCAGGGGCTATGATAGTGCATATATCCGACGCTCTGGTGTCTGTGGTGTCCGGTTCTTAGACGAAGGTACAGTATGATCCTGTTTTCAGAAAATATAAACAAACTATGTATCCATCCTAGTTTCTACCCCAGAATGCGAATCCATGGTTTCCTGTGCCTGGTGGCTTTGTGAGTGGTCTCTCTGTCTTTTCTTTATGCCCCCCTGTTGTAACAGAACTATTTTCAGTGTGTGTGTAACTTGTTTATAAGCATCGGTTAATGACATTACAGGAGATGCCAGCTTTATAGGCCAACGTCTGTGGACTCCATTGACGGCTCAGCCCCCAGAGTCCAGTCTCCTTCCATCACCTTATATCCGCCCTGTTCTTCCTCCCACCACCCCCGCCCCCTCTCCCGATAACCTCCCTTCTGCTTCATGGCACCCGTGCAGGTGTGATTTCAGGCCTTCGGGTTTCTAACCTGGGGCGATGGGCATCCGAGCCCTGTATTTCACGTGTGGGCTCCTGGTTTAAAATGCAGACAGGCTCTGAGCCCCATCCCAGGCCCCCTGAGCAGGAATCTTTGGGGTGGAGGGCGGCGAGCCAGGTGCCTGCCTTTTCTGGGTGAGTCCAGTGCTTTGCTCTCTGAGGACCACGCAGGGTTCAGCCAAGAACTATTGGGGTCAGTGCGGGCTTAGCCCTGAGGCTGCAGAGCTCTTCTCGGGTTCGCAGAGGGTCAGGTCTGAAGACAGTCCAGCAGCGCTGCCCCTTCCTTCCCGAGACTTGGCGTTAGCAGGACGAGGCCGTGCACACCATCTGCACCCCCACCCCCCGCCCGTGCCTCTGAGAGAGGATGAGTGCAAGGCTCAGGCTGACTCCGCCAGGAGACCAGGGTTAGAACCCGCGGGTCCGCACTTCTGTGCTATTCCAGCTCCAGGGGCCCTGACTGGAGAGTCCCGCAGGCAGTCATCGACGGGTCCTTGCGCTTCTTCCCTCAGCATCCCGGGAGGCCCAAGGGAGCGCATAGCTTTCCCGGGTGCCACTTGGCAGCTTGGGGCCAGCGCTCTGTGAGGCTCCTGCTGGATTCCGGTTGCCTCATGCTTATCAGAAGCTGATTCATCTGCTCTCCATTCATGCCTCTGACCAGTCATCCCTCCATCCGTTCATTCATTCAATAAGCATTTGCCGCTGTCCGCTCCGTACCAGGCCCGGCACCAGGTGCTGGGGACGCGGAGCTGAGTCAAGCTGGCCTCTGCCCCCCGCGGCCTCCCCATCCAGGGGGTGGAGGTGACCGTTACCGTGAAATCCGTGACAGGGCCCGGCGGGGGGGAGCACGGATCTCCCAGTCACTGAAAATGGGGAAAGAAGCTAATTCTTCCTAGGTGACGTTTTTCTGGTTGGTGGGCTCTTTCTTTTTAAAACCTCACCCCGGTTGGTTTCAAACGTAATCATATTCAAACAGGACCAGAGGGTGATCTTTATCACATCCTGCCTCCTTCCCCAGAGGCTAAGGCTGGTCATCATTCTTTGGGTATCTTTCCAGAAAATGCTTCTATGTATTTTTGCATGTGGAGAGCATGAGCCTTCCCTGCCCCCATGCGCGAAACACGTTATTCACCCGGTTATGTAACGCGGTTCTTTTTACGTAACAGTTCCTCTTGGCAGATGGCCTGGCCCAGCACCCACCCCGTAGGCTGCCCTGCGAATGGGCATGGCGTTGCGCTGTTCCCCGGATTTTAATATTAAATACAGGAGTCACGATCCTGACAGGTGGAGTCTTTCAGTGCCTGGTGTCGAAGGGAGAAGATGGAGCGGGCTCACCCGTTCGGGGTTGAAAAATGTGGAGGCTGAGCCCCCACCCAACCCCCCCAATCGCCAGCAATGCCAGCCACACCAGTTGAAGGTTGAAATGACCTAGAGCTGCCACCCCCTGCTTCATTCTGCTGTGTCCTTCCCGCAGCCCTCGCCTCCCACGACTACATCTTGAAGATCGTGCCCACCGTTTACGAAGACAAGAGTGGCAAGCAGCGGTACTCTTACCAGTACACAGTGGCCAACAAGGTACGGGCAGCAGCGGCCGCGGGGCCCAGCTGCGTGCGACAGCGCCCTCTGCTGGCCGAGCGCAGAGGCTGCACGTGTCGGGCACAATTTGAGAAAGAGCAGGCAGGTGGCCTCCCCCAAAGGTCCAGGAGTTACGGCCGGCTCCACAGCCCTGCCTCTGGCCCCTGACTGGTCAGCACACGACAGATGCTTTGGCTCTTGAATCACACCGATGGC